CCAAGCCCACTCTGAGCCACATCCTCCTAATACAATGTCTCCCGATCCCTGTTCAGACTTTTCTTCTTCTTCCTTGAACCCTTCCGACCATGGCCAACTCCCTACGGCTCCCAATCCCCTTGCAGCCACTCCAGATCCAGTTCCACAACCTCCACCTTACGTCCCCCACCCTCCCCCTTTCTCAAGCACAGCTCCCCACCCCACTCCCCAGCCTGGGCCAGAGAGCTGAGACCTCAGCCCCACCCACTACCCTGAGGGTCCCAAGGCTTTACCTGGTCTGAACACTTTAAAACAGGGACTGTTGCCGCCTATAGCCAGAATGAAGTGTTGTCTTGGAACCTATTGTACATTTAAGAGTAAACTTTTGTAAAAGAAATAGAATAAAATAAAATAGGGAACACCGCAGGGCCCCACTCCGTCCCCACCCAGCCACCCTTTCCGGGAAGCAGCTGGAGCAGAAAGCACCGCTCAGGTTCCGTTCCATTCTCCCTCCTATCTCAGACTGAAAAGCACCTTGGCTCCTTCTCAGACCCGGATCTAAAAGAATTCAAATATCTTACCCAACCCAGTCTTATGACTTAACCTGGCATGATATTTGCATCACACTTTCCTCCACTCTTCTCCCAGAAGAGAAGGAACGAGTACGGACAGCCTCTCAGGCGTACGCTGATGAGGTACCCAGGACAGACGACACGGGGCCTGTAGGGGCGACATCTGTCCCCCGAGAAGATCCCAACCGGGGTTTTCAGGCAGGGAGACCGGACGAGCAGCCCGTAATCACACGGTTGCCTGCCTCATTGTGTGCCTTCAAAAGGCAGGGCATAAAGCCATCAACTTTGATCAGCTCCAGGAAATAACTCAAGAGCTAGATGAAAACCCAGCACAACTTCTAGCCAGGTTAATGGAAGCACTACAGAAATATACAAAGTTAGACCCCACTTCAGCAGAGAGCACCATTGTCCTTAATACCGATTTTATCTCCCAGTCGTCCCTAGGTATGTAAAACAAACTAAAAAAGGCAAAAGAAAGCCCTCAAACCCCTCAACAAGACCTTTTAAATTTAGCCTTTAAGATTTTCAATAACTGGGAAGAACAGGCAAAGCCAGAGAAGGCCCGACGAGATCAGGCCAAATACCAACCACCTTTTAGCCACTGCCCTACATGGCTCCAAGCCTCCATCAACCAACAAAGAAAGGAAGCCACCTGGGCCCTGCTACAAATGTGGCAAAGAAGGCCCCTGGGCCCGCTCATTCCTATAGCCAAGGCCCCTCCAGGTCCATATCCCAGCTGTGGCATAAAGGGACACTGGAAGGTCCCCTCCGGGGATCCGGACATCCCCTCCTGGCCCTGGGCAGGAGTCCTCCGGCCCAGCCCTGCCCAGCCTCCTCGGACTCTCCGCTTTAGACCGAAGGTGCCCAGGGCCCCAGGCCCCGACTCTCATCACCTCCACGGAGCCCAGGTAACTTACAGCGGCAGGTAAGCCGGTCCCCTTTCTCATTGACACAGGGTCCACCTAGCCTCCTGTGCCTGCCTACTCCGGAGAAACCAAGGTATCCCAGGTCTGTTATGGGGGCTGACGGTTTAATATCTACACCACGAATAACCGAGTCTCTACCTTGCACACTTCAAGATACCCCATTTTCCCATTCTTTTCTCATACTCCCAAAATGCCCCACTCTTATTCTTGGGAGAGACCTTCTCTCAAAATTCAAAGCCTCAATTACTATCCCAAGCCCATCCTCTGATCTAGCCTGGCTACTGATCCTTAACACCCACCTCTTCTGACATTCTGAGCACTTCTACAACAGGCTCCTTTCTGTTTTTCCAGACAAAACTCTATGAACAATTCTTACCCCCAACTAGGAACTATAATACCGCCACACCTTTGTAATCACTTCACATCTCTCCTTCCCTTCAGGCCGATCTGTCTATCAAGTCTCAGGAACTGCAGGACATTCTCTTATTTCTCCGGGAGACTCCCCTCTGCATATGGTGTAAATACTCCTCATGTAGGGGCTACACTGGTAAGTTCACGGTCAGTTTCACAGACTACTAACAAGTTGCCAGAAAAACTCCTATTTGTTTTCGATTTCAGCTGTTGCCTTCTTACTCCTGGAATATTTTTCTCATGTGGAACCACTACTTATCTATGTCTTCCCACTAACTGAACAGGGGCATGCACCCTGGTGTGTCTGGCCCCAGATATTTCTATTGCTCCTAACAATCAGACCCTTGCTATCCTACTAACTCATAACCAACCCAGACGGGCAATTCAATTCATTCCTCTATTAATTGGTTTAGGAATAGCTGCTGGGATTGGGACAGGGACCGCAGGACTCACAACCTCTTTAAATTACTATCAAAGCCTTTCTAAAGACCTCACTGACAGCCTAGAAGAAATAGCTAACAGCCTTATCACTATCCAAAACCAGCTAGAATCCCTGGCAGCCGTGGTCCTCCAAAACAGAAGGGGATTAGACCTCCTCACAGCAGGAAAAGGAGGCCTATGCCTATTTTTGGAGGAAGCCCGCTGTTTCTACACCAATAAATCAGGCGTTGTAAAGGAAGCAGCAAGAAATCTGATAAACAGGGCCTCGAGAATACAGCAACACCTCAGTAATTCATGGGAAAACTGGTTAAGCAACTGGAATTGGATGCCCTGGGTCCTACCTTTCCTAAGCCCTCTCCTTCTACTTACCCTTATTCTAACTTTCAGCCCATGTTTAATGCATCTTTTTTCAAAATTTCTTCAGGACCACTTACAAGCCTTCACCAACTGAACTATCCATGAGCTACTTCTAACTCACTGAGATGACCAAAAACTTCGACCCCACACAAACCCCCTTGACCTACATTCGAGCCTTTTCTTACCTTACCCCCACGAAGCCCCTGTCCCAAAGGAAGCAGGTGCAAATGACTGACCTTTGGACCTTATCCTAAATCAAAAGGCTGGAATGATTGGGCCTACATGGGGTCCCATTGATAAGATGGCTCTTTATGTCAACCTTGCAAACAAAGAACAAAATCACAGTGATCTGTGAGACTGACCAAGTTGCCCAAATGGCATCCCGTTATCTCAATGGCGCTTATCTTCTCAAAGCTGCAAGACCACCAGATTCCAAACCTCCGGCTACCCTTCAGAGACCATCCCTTCAGAGACTTTTTCATTGGTGGGGTATAAGGACTCCCTGAGAAAGGGAGAACGTGGGTTCTCCTTAAGAGCCAATCACCCTGTCTTTTCCCTCTAATAAATTTCCTCTTCTTGCCTGACTGCCTGGCTTGCTCTCTTTTTCTCTGCACTCGCCTTACAAATCTTCTATCAGGAATAAGACACAACTAGCTATACACACGATCACTGTATTAAAGTGCAATGCATGAAACAGAACAGGGCATGAAACAGAACAGGTTCGCACTTAGAGGTCTGGGTCGCTTTCTCAACCCTTACTTAATAAGACTTATTTTCATCGGCCCTAGACCAAGAACTACTAAAACTGGAAACCTGGAAATTGTCCCAAATAATTTATTCATTCATCAGACAAATATTTAGACTGTATACTCTGGCATTACCTGGCACAGTGCCTGGTCACAGTGGTTAAAGACAGCACCCTCTCTTATGGAGCCCAGAATCCAGCATGAGTCCAGACTTCATACTGGAAATGTATATATATTCTGTGTACACAGCAAATGTATAATGTGGCATTTCTGAAAAGCATTCTGTTCATTTTAAAACGCTTTGCAACCTCTTACCCACCCATCCCCCCCCCCGAAAATACATATATATATTAAAACAAAGGGATGGATTTCTAACAACCTGAAAACACAACTTTCTTCCAGTTGCTACGGCCACATTTTAAAATATGGGGTGTTCTCTAAAATCACATCCAGGTACATTTTTAGTTCTCACCTACTCACAGTCTCCTACACATTTGTTCACAGCGAAGAATATTGTACTGGATGGTCAATCGTGAAATAACTAGGCAACCTCAACCAAAGGGCTGTTTCACTCAAGAAAATGTTTAAAGTCCATATCCAGAGGGGCACAAAATCTATTAAACCTGGCTGTTTCCACCTGCCAAACCTGTTGCTCGGACCCTTTGGGGTTTACAGTCCTACCAAGTTGCTTTATGCATTATCAACTAAGAGCAGATTAGGAAAGGTTGGGCTTGTGTGATCCGGAATCGAAGTTATTAGCATATCCCATGACCTGAAGGCTGTGCTGGTTCCCTAGAGATCGGGTGCTGGAGTCCCAGATGGTTAAGGGCGTCATGGTCACATGAAGGGGCCCTAGCTTCAGCTGATCTCAAGATAAAGAGCAGGAGCTGTCAGGGGCGCTCCCACACCAGTGTATGTACATCTACCAGTACAGCCTCTAAAGATCAACAGATTAAGCTGTCTCAAATTTGGGAGCAAAAATGTAAGGAAGGAAAAAAAAAAACCTTCCACGTGCAAGTCCTTTAAATTTGGGGCCAGTACACTCTCCCCACAGCAAATTCACGGGCCAGGAAAACACCCCTCTTGGACAAAGTTTCGAGATCCGGGAAGAAACGGGATTGAGACTATAAAGCGCCTCTCTGTAAAGGGAAAAGGTGACAAGGGTGACATTAGAGGAGGAAGCCGCAGGAGGGGCAAGGACTGAGAATTCGGCGAAATTTAGGAACTCTGGGTCCCGGGAGGGGGGCGGCGTGCAGAACAAGGCCTTAGGGAGAAAGTCAAATGACTCGGGGACCCTGCTGAAGGCACCTGGAGGGAAACGGATTTGGCAGAAGGAGCGCGGATCTCCCAAACCGTCGGGAGGCGAGATCTGGACCCCAGATGCTGAAGCCGCAGCCCGGAGAGGAGCTCTGAGTTGGCGGCGCCCCCGAGGGAAGGGCAGGGGCCGGGCTCATCCCTGTGTCTGCAGGGAGGATGGGGAGGCAAGAGTGCAGCGCGCCGGGGCCGGGACACCGCGCGGTCGTGCCGGTCCAGGGAGCCCTGGCAAGGGCTCCCGCGCCGCTACTCACCTCTCCGAACTGGAAGGCGGAGACGATGGTGACAACGACGCCCACGAAACAGACGTAGAGCCCATACCTGTGGGACAGGCAGGTATAGGTCTGTCTCTGCAAGAGCTTGAGCAGCATCACCCCGGCCGCCGCCACGCCGCGCCGCGCCCGGGGAGTCGGAGACGCAGCCGCTGCAGCCTCAACGAGCCGCCATTCCGCGGCCCCCGCAGGGCCGCCGTGCTCAGGTCACAGCCTCCGGCCGCCGCGCATTGCCGCTCCGGGGACCGACGCCCGCTCGGCTCCACGCCGCGGCCGCCGCTTCCGGGAGCCGGGAGCCCACGCCCTCCTCGCGGCGGAGGCGGTCGCGCGGCCCCCAAGGCAGCCGGCGCCGCCCCAGTCTAGCCAGGCTAGAGACGGCGGCGGCGGCGGCGGCGGCGGCCGGGCCGGCAGCGCCACCTGGAGGGCGGAGGGGCGGAGGACAGGCGCGAGCCCCCGTGACTGCGCACGCGCGGTGCGCTCTTCGGGCCTGGCAGGGATCCTTGAAACTGGCCTGTGTTGGCGACCACACGGGACAGGCCTCTGTAAGGAGGCCGTGCCCCAGACAGTGCTGCTTGGGCACCAGTGTTTTTGAGCGCAAAACCCTTCCTGCATTTACAATGATCAGCTAATCATGGTTTTTCACAACGCTAAGAGGAGACGCTGTTATAGATCTCTTTTCTCCTCCTGCTATCTAACCATATTGTTGAAACAGGAATTTGGAGGACTCAGTTCAGCTCAGTTCAGTCGCTCCGTCGAGTCCGACTCTTTGCGACCCCATGAACCACAGCACGCCAGGCCTCCCCGTCCATCACCAACTCCCGGAGTCCACCCAAATCCATGTCCTTTGATTCGGTGATGCCATTCAACCATCTCATCCTCTGTCGTCCCCTTCTCCTCCTGCCCTCAATCTTTCCCAGCATCAGGGGCTTTTCAAATGAGTTGGGGCTTTTCAAATGAGTCAGCTCTTCCTATCAGGTTGCCAACGTATTGGAGTTTCAGCTTCAATATCAGTCCTTCCAATGAACACCCAGGACTAATCTCCTTTAGGATGGACTGGTTGGATTTCCTTGCAGTCCAAGGGACTCTCAAGAGTCTTCTCCAACACCACTAAATGTGCTAAAAACGAAATTCATTCATTCATCTAGTTATTAAATATGTATTTAGTGTCCAGTGTCTGGCCGGGTGCTTGGTGTCAGGTACTCAAAAATGAACTGGAGGGAATTCCCTGGCTGTCCAGGGATTAGGACGCCTCCCTTCCACTGCAGGGGCCTAGGGCTACATCCCTGGTTGGGAAACTAAGATCTCCCAGGCCCCCGTGGTGGTGGTGTTCAGGCGGGGCCAAAAAAACAGTCCGAAATGAACTAGATCTGGCCACTGTTCCCAGGGAGAGACTAGCTGTGGAGATAAACACAGAAAGCACTAAATACTATTTAAAAAAAAAAAAACGTTGTTACAACAGATGTTGTGCCCTGTGTTGCAAAGGAGGTCAGTTATTTCTACTTTGGCACCAGGTGATTTTTAAGAGGGCGAAGGAAATGGCAACCCTCTCCGGTATTCTTGCCTGGAAAATCCCATGGACTGAGGAGCCTGGTAGGCTACAGTCCATGGGGTCGCAAAGAGTCGGACACGACTGAGCGACTTCACTCACAGGTAGAAGAGGGAGTGTGGACCGTATCCGTGCATGCTTGCTCAGTCGTAAGCTCAGACTGTAGCCCACCAGGCTCCTCTGTCCCTGGGATTTCCCAGGCAAGAATACTGGAGTAGGTTGCCACTTCCTCCTCCAGGGGATCTTCCCGACCCAGGGATCCGACCCAGGGATCGGACCCGAGTCTCCTGTGGCTCACGCATTGCCAGGCGGATTCCTCACCACTGAGCCACCCGGGGAAGCCTGTGGACACTGCTGTTGTTGTTCAGTCGCTCAGCCGTGTCCAGTTCTTTTCACCTCCGCGGAAGGCAGCACGCCAGGTTTCCCTGTCCTTCACCATCTTCCGCAGTTTGCTCAAACTCATGTCCATTGATGCCGTGCAACCATCTCGTCCTCTGTCATCCTCTTCTCCTCTTGCCTTCAGTCTTTCACGGCATCAGGGTCTCTTCAAATGAGTCGGCTCTTCGCATCAGGTGGCCAAAGTATTGGAGCTTCAACTTCAGCATCAGTCCTTCTAATGAATATTCAGGGTTGATTTCCTTTAGGGTTGACTGGATAAAACCAGAGGACTTAAGTCTCAAGGGGTTTGCTACGACAATATTTCCTATCAGGACACACAGTTTTCTCTTTCAACATTTTATTAACACTCCTGGTGCCTTTTTCCACCCCTCATCCCAGGAGAGGAGGGAAGTACCTGACTGGCAAGGTTGCAAGAAATTGAGCTTGTCTGCCAGAGACAGAAGTTCTCATCCACTATCTGCCAACCATAGGCGCACCTATGGCCCAGCCTGGGCCTGGGTCTAGAAAGTGTGTCTCATTCAGAGAGAAAATATTAGCTGCTGGATGGTTTGAAAAGATGAACAACATTCTTCAATTCACTGTATCAGCACGAAAACCAGTGCATCCATCTCCATCTGTCTGTATCTTACACCATATTCTCAATGAGTCTGAAACTCAGGAGACAAAAATGCGTTAGGTGTTGGGCACCTAAACACCATGTATCTCTGAGTCACCTTCTGTTCAGTCCTGATGAAAAATGAACAACCAAAGTAAACAGTCCTACACAGTGAAGAGCCTCTTGCCCTGGGCTTGCAAAATATAAACCTCGAATATAGATATGGTGTACTTGGAAGGCATACCTTGACCTTGATAAGAAAATGACCCTAAACAGAGAGCTTTAACTAGTTGATTTAAGCAAAGTTGAAATGACTCCTGATATGTCTATATTTAGCTTAGTCCTTGCCTTACTCAAGGTAAAAAGATAAAAATGTTAACATTATGAAATACTTGTACTTTTCAGCTTTAGGCTTGAAAAGCTTGCATGTTGTCAGAAAACATACTTTAATTTTGTCCCCTACTTGTTCCTTTCAAGATAAACAGTGCACGCTCGTAAAACACAAGTCTATTGTAAGTCACCTCATGCCTTTCTTTTTTTTTCCTAAAAAAGAAAGCCAAGACAGCTTTTACTTATTTATTTTTGCAAAATAATAGCTAAAGCAAATTATTAAGAAATTTCATTGCTTCTGATAGAATTCCAAGAGCCAAAACATAACATGGCCCACTGCTTATTTTTTTGTGAATGCAAATATATCATGTATATTTAACAAATACACATAGTTATCACATAAGTGGGGCTTCCCTGGTGGCTCAGGTGGTAAAGAATCTGCCTGCAGTGCAGGAGACCCAGGTTCAATTCTTGGGTCAGGAAGATTCCCTGGAGAAGGGAATGGCTACCCGCTCCAGTATTCTTGCCTAGGAAATCCTATGGACAGAGGAGCCTGGCGAGCTACAGTTTATAGGGTCGCAAAGAGCCAGACACGGCTGAGTGACTGACAGTGTCACTTTTTCACAAAAGAGTGACCATACTTTACTCTCTTAACTTGATTTTCACTTGTAGGTTTTTTGGGGATATCTCATCTCTGCAGTAGCTCGGATGGTAAAGACACTGCCTGCAATGCAGGAGACCTGGATTCGATCCCTGCATTGGGAAGATCACCTGGAGAAGGGAATGGCAACCCACTCTAGTATTCTTGCCTGGAAAATCCCATGGACAAAGGAGCCTGGTGGGCTACAGGGTCGCAAAGAGTCGGACCTGACTGAGTGACTAACAAACACACATCTCTGCAACCTAGACATCACGAAGGCAGGAGACTGGCCCATCTTACTCATAACTACATGCCTACCCTTAGCATTCCACGTGCCTCAGACGGTGAACAGTCTGTCTGAAATGCAGAAGGGTCACAAAGAGTCGGACACGACTGAGCGACTTCACTTTCACTTTTCACTTTCATGCACTGGAGGAGGAAATGGCAACCCACTCCAGTGTTCTTGCCTGGAGAATCCCAGGGCCGGGGGAGCCTGGTGGGCTGCCGTCCATGGGGTCCCAGACAGTTGGACACGACTGAAGTGACTTAGCAGCAGTATCTAGGTTTCTAAACCTCTGTCATGTTTATTGTTATTTACTCTTTGTTTATGTCATTTTGTATATTACTTTGTACTGTCTCAACGTTTTGCTAAATAATTTTTTCCCCTTATGCTTTGGCTCATTCTCTCTATTTTTGTGTGGTCTTATATTTCATTGATTTGTGCCTTTATCTTTGTAATTTCCTTTCCTCTTTTTCTCTTAATTTACTCCCTTTCTCTCTTTTTTTTTTTTCAGGATACGCCAGCGGGGCATTTTAGTTCTCTGCCAGGGACCTCAGCTGTGAAAGCAGAGTGCTAACTCCTGGACCACCAAGGAATTCCCTTCTTCGTTGCTTCTTCAGCTAGTTGCTCAAATGTTAATACTTAGGTCAATTTTTATTTTATTTTTATTTTATTTATTGTTTTTCATAAATGTCCCCAAACTATAAGCTTCAAGTGCTACTTTCACTGCATCCCATGAACGTCTGCACGGGATGCAGGTGTACGCTGAGACTCGGGGCTCCACTGCAGGTACCCCGCCGCGGGCACACGGGGTCCACGTCAGCGGAACCGCGGCAGGATGGCTCCAGGCCGAGGCCGAGGTGGTAAGTGGGTTCTCAGGGCGTGCATGGCCGGGGCGGAGCAGCACCGTATCTCCACACACTGGTACACTAACCCACCACGCAGGACGTGGAAGAAAAAAGCGAAAATCACACGCTGGAATCAGGAAGCGCCCCCTTCCTCCCTGCAATAGTCCCCCACCGCCCTCTACTGGCCAAGTTTAGGATCACAGCACTACGAGAGAGAAATGCTTAGTTCAAGTCCATTAACACAGAGACGGTCTGAGCGGATGAATTTGGAGCGGAGAGGCACCCACTGATAACCAGCACATCCCTGACACTAGGGTTTGGGGTGTAGTTTAGATTCTCTTAGTCAGGTGAATTCACAGAAGATTTTAATCTGGCAGTGACATGGGATAAGAAGCTGGGGAAAGGGCACCCAGCTTTTTTGCTCGTGAGACAGTGGAGATGTGATGTGATTCTGAAGCCAG